AAGGTCTTTGTTTTTTACTTGATTTTCCACTGAATCAATATTACCTAAGTGACCATACTTGTAATCTTATTAGTTAATTATAGTTTTGTTCCACATTATACCCACTTCATGATTTCATACCCATTTCATGATTTTTCTCTATAAAGCCTCCCCTGTAAGTGGAGTTCACAGCAGCCCAACTTCTGGGCCCCCCTTCAGTCTCTCTTAGCCAGAAGCTATCTATCTTTCCCTCAATATTCCCTACTCTTGACCTCTATTATTCCTGGAATTATTTTTTTTTTTAATTTTAGAGAACAAGAGCTCAGTGTGTCAGATATGTGACAGGTTGGAAGTTATAATATTTCCCCTATGTTATTTGGAGGTCCTATATCATCCCTATATCAGAGAGATGTGGAAGTGAAGGAACTGGGCTTTTTGCTACAAATTCAACATTTGTTCAGAGATCAAAGCATACAAGCCACTTTACCTTGCATATTTACACGTATCATCCCCTTCCATTTTCCAAAAACACGAGATAGATATAATATTTTACATATGAAGAAACAGAGAAGTTGGCTTGCCCAACATCACATAGCTGAATAAATAGTAGCCTAAGATCACATAACTAAGTGGTAGAGATGGAATTTGTACCTCCAAGTACTTTGATTCCAACTCCAGTGCCCTCTCTACTACAACAGTATAATTAGGAAGAATTATTCAAAGCAGAGAAGTGAAGATCCTTTTCTGAGACCCTGGGCTTGGGCAGAGAAAAGGTCCTGTTGTGTCCATATCCCAGGTCCTGCCGGAAAGAGCTAAGCTGCAGAGGATCAAAGACCAGGCTGTGTCTCCAGCTTTCACAGAGGTTTCATCTAACAAAGCCTCCTTCCCGGTGTCCAGGGCTGATTATCTCTAGGGTATGCTTCTCCCTGTTCACTGGGAAAACCCATTGTAAGACTATTACAGTGCTTATTTGCTGGGCTGGGCAAGAGCTTTTCCAAAGGACAAGAGGCAGAGGAGATAGGAAATGAATGGCATGTGCCTTCCAGAGGCACCCACCCACATCACAGAGACATGGAGGTGTCCTGGGTGACAGCTTCCTCTGGTCTCTGGGAAACAATCCTCTGGAGAGGGGTGGGGGAAGAGCCTTCCCCTCAGCACTCCCTAATCCAATATTCCAGAAACTACCTACTCTAAGTGGCTGGTCATGTGACATTCCAGAAACTACCTACTCTAAGTGGCTGGTCATGTGACATTCCAGAAACTACCTACTCTAAGTGGCTGGTCATGTGACATTCTGAGGGGTGTCCTAGCCTTCTCTAGGGAGTGGTTCCACCATTCCCCTTCTGGGAAAACTATGCACAACCAGATGGTGGGTGAAGTGGGGTCAAGGCCAGAAGGACTCCATGTGACTTTGGAAAACAGCAGTGTGTAGAGTGCAAGAAAGCAGCTTTTACAATCAGACAGCCTGGATTCAAAGTTCAACTCTGCCACTTAACAGTTGTGTAATTTTAGGAGGCTTATTTCACTTCTCTTGGCCTTCGTCTATAAAATCAGAGTAATAACAATGTCTACTGCTTGGGATTATTGTGCTCACAGGAGATAATATACATCAGGTGTTCGGCACAGCATCTGGCACATAGCAAACATTCAGCAAATGCTGGCTGCTATTATCATCACCATTATGAGGACTCTCTACATGCATCTCCCAATGTCCTCCCAATTGCAACAGGCAATAGCTAAACAGTTATGGGAAACAATGGCGGATGGGAATCTAACCAAACCCCAGTGGTAACTGGATCCCCAGCTAGGCTGTAAGTAGCTCCTTCTCAAGAGAACGATCTACCCTACCCTCAACACACTCACTTGGCTCTTCTCTCCTCCTCCAGGGAAACTCCATGGAAATTCAGCAGTCATTGAGTTAGCAAAGTCAAAGACCTTTTCTGGTACCTTGAGATGCCCAGGATTGGGGACACAGGACTATCCTCCACCACCCCACCACCCTGCACACACAACACACCTTCCTGGAGGTTCTGGACCAGTTTGGAAAGCCCCATCCACCCCTTTTCATGGACTTTTTTTTTTTTTTTTTTTTGGCCTTTCTCAATGCCCTGGGCCAATGGAATGTGTTTTTATTTTCCTATTTAGAGCCTGCTTTTTCTCTAACCTATTTCTTTGCCCTCTACCTGCCAATCAGTTTATGCCGACTTATCTTTTGTTTTTGTTTTTGTTTTCTCAGACGGGGTTTTGCCATGTAGTTCAGGCTGGCTGTAAACTCAGTCTGTAGCCCAGGATGGCCTTGAACTCAGTGATCCTCCTGTCTCAGCCTCCTGAGTGCTAGAATTACAGGTGTGCACACCATACCCAATTTGTCTAGAAAGCTAGGGAAAGGATCTGATAGAAGGAGGAGGAGGAGGAGGAGGAGGAGGAGGAGGAGTGATATGGCTTAAGTCCTAACTCCCTGCTCTAGGCCTGGCTGCTAGAGTTAGCCAGTTTCTTTTGGTGGGCAGAGATAGCTGGATGTCCCCCTTAAAGAGTGTGCACTCTCCCAAGGGAATCAAAGACCGCATTTCCCAGTCCCACTTCATCTAAGTAGTGCCATGTGATGCGCTTGCAACTATAAACTACATGCATCATTTCTGAGCCACAGCATTTGTGAAATGGATGTGTCTTCCTTATGTTTTCTTTCTGGCTAGAAGTAGACAACGATGGAAATGACAAGGTCACAACACAGAAAGATAGGAGGCTTTGAAAAACCTATGGAAAAAAAGCCTCCCACTGATGCGAACACCCTTACTGGGCTGTTAATGAGTGAGAAATGCATTCTCATTGTGTTAAATCATGGAAATTGTAGAACCTATTAGAGAAGGAGTTATCCAATCGGGAACACAGCATCATAGCCTCTACTACCTTCTTCATAGCGATTTGTAAATAGGGAGCAAGAAAAGAATGGGAGGAAGGACTTGCTCTCACATTGATATGAGAGACTAAAACAAACAAAATTGAGTGGTCCAAAGCCAGACACGTAAGAGCAGACAATGGAGAATTCTGGTTGTAGCTAGGAGAATAAATGTGTGTGACAGTGCTGCTGGGTGCTAGGCAGTCACTAGTGGGAGCCTAAGTACTGATGTCACCAGATTAAATGCAAGACAAAGGAGTGCACAGTGTAAACGTTACACCTTTCGGAAGACATTAATGAACCATCCATCTAGTTCTCTTGGAAATAGCTAAGTAAGCACTGGGGCTTCCTTGTGAACCTGTCTCTTGCTGAGCTGCCAAGGAGAGAGTAAAGAAAGATGAAGAGAAAAGGACAAGCTCCAGAGTGCTCTTTCCTCCATTCCTTGTCTGTTTTGTGAAGGTTTACTTACTCTTAAACTCATTCCAATCTTTGCCTCTTCTACAAAGACTACCTTAATCTCTTCAGGCTAGTGGCTTCTCTGTCCATGTTCCTAGCATGGTGTCCCCACCCAACCACAGCTTCCATCACACTGGGTTATGATCAGGTCCTTGAGGATGCTGCTGTGCTCTCTCTACCTTCTGGGCACACATAGGCACTTTGTTGGTGAAGAGATAAATGAATGAATGTGTGATTAAATAGCAGAATCTAAGGATGAGGAACTCAAACTAAGAGCCCCAATAGAGATGTCTCGGCACTCAAGTGAGTAATCTGTTTTCTATGTAGGTCACCAGTAAAACATCCAACACAGAGTTCTGCAGGTCACACACTTTTATTGCTAAAGCCAATGGCTGAGGGACTGTGGTGGACATGAATGTTGCCCTCCTCCCCAGTCTTGACAGCATTCCTCAATGTACCCCTCCACATCTGATTCAGCCCAGCCACTAGCCACTTTCTGTCTGCTATCCTGGGGCAGTTTTCTTTCTGAGGGGTTGCCTGTCTGAGCTGGGTTGGGCCAGGCTGATCCGTTTGCACCTGCCTCTGAGAATCACAGCACCATACGGAAGATGAGAGAGGGGACTGGAGAGAAACAGCCGCCCCAGAGAAAAGCCTGAGGAGGCATGGGCCTTCAGTTGGCAAGGAGGCTGGACACACTGATGGCCTGTAGTATTGGGACCAACTCAGGTCCTCACCAGGGCTGTCTGGAGGGCATGGTTGGTATTTACCTCTTCTCCAAGGTCCATTTTATGGCAGTGCTGAGAAACTGAAAGACAGCGAAAGCTGGGGACAAACCCCACACTCTTAGAACAGTCCCTAGGTATGAAGAATGTCGTCCATCTGGACTTGCCTTCTCTTTATGTCCCCTTTCTTTCCCTTTCTGCCTCTCAGAGGCAGGAACAATTTGTGGCTCTGCGTTGGATTTGCCTGCAGGCCTAGATGAAGATTTGCTTCCCTGAGTATCTCTGCCTTGGAAAAGTCCATATTGGGAACATTTTCAAGGCCCTTTTACTGGAATATTTTATAGGACATTCCCATGAATCCCTTAGAGTTCTTGGGTGGGGGGTGATTAATGCTAACTCTCTGGGTCCTGGAATTTTTGGAGATATTTTTAAATACATCTACAGTATTTATATTTCTTAAATATAAAAATAAAATGAAATAAAATCTGCCCCAACAGCTGGTGACCAAAGAAGTACAGTGAGCCCTAGTCACAGTCATCAGTGCAGACAGTCACAGCATAGCTCAACTCAGGATGTCCATGGCATCCGCAGGAGGTCTGAGTGTGGGCACAGACAACAATGGGAATGCCTTTCCACCGAGGATAGTCCAGGCACTGGGAAGCAGACACTCTGACAAAACCCATTTTCTGCCTCAGGACAGCAATGGTGTCCTGATGTCACCTTCCAGGACCATCTCTGGCTCTGTTCTGGCTTCACCTCTTTCATTCATTTATGGACTCCCCCACAGGAACTTCCACAGTGCCCAAGCTCTTATCTCCAGATTTCTGGCCTGGGTTCTGAGAAAAGTTGAGGGTTCTCTTGGTTTCTGATGAACTTGAGAGAATGAAGACAGACAGACAGACGCGCACACACACACACACACACACACACACACACACACACACACTCAGAAGCAGCAGACAGTGGAGGTGGCAGTGATGAAGGTGCCTGGTGATGAAGGTGCCCAGATGTTGCAAATGGCCCAGGGCCTTCAGCCAGAGTCTTCACAGCAGTCGGTGCTGTGGGGAGAGCTGGAGAGCTGGTTAGGATTTCCGGAAGCGCACCTCACTCTGAGGAACAGATAAGGAGAAGAGGGTGAGGGTGGGCTCGATGGGTGGAGAACACAAAAGTCCAAAGTGGGATTCAGGACCAGCTTCAAGCCCAGCTGTCACTTGGCACTGACTCTGAGAAGAGGGAAATGAAGGGAAGAGTGAGGCATCTGGAGGGTCCCATTGCACTGGGCTCTGGAGCAGCCTTCCCAGCTCCTCTGGCTCTTTGTTCTGCCCTCCTCCCAAAGAGCAGGGAAGGACTGGGCATGGCATTTCCAGCTTGAAAGCTACAGTTAAGGGGCCCTGATTTGAACTGAGCTGGGTCAGCAGAGTCAATGGCAGATCCCCAGCTTCCTACATGGAGGATGGCCTGTAGCACACTCCTATGGTCACTTCAAGGACCTGTGTAAACTTACGGCTGTGCCATCACTGGAAGAGAGTGGTATTGGAGCTGTAACTGACCTAGGTCCACCCTCTTAGAAGCCTCTGGGCTCTGTTCTGAGGGAAGGAAATGAGGGAAAGAAAGATAAATCAGACTGGCCCCAGGCTTGACATATGACCCTACTTTGAACACCCCCAAATGCAAAGGGCTGAGGGGACCTGTGCCTACATCCTGGAAAGCCTGGGCCTCCTCCAGATTCCCATCTTTGGGAGGTACCAGACTGCCTGATGCAGTGTCTCTGGGTTGAGCTCTCACCTCCATCTTGCTGTAGATCCAGGGAAGGACTTCTGACACTTTGGTGTACACACCAGGTTTGTTTCTCTGACCGCAGCCTGTGCCCCAGCTGGTGACGCCTGCCAGGTACCAGCGGTTGTTCTGCTCACAGACAAGAGGCCCCCCACTGTCTCCCTACAAGGGACAGGCAGTGTGTCAGCCATGGTGGGGAGCAGTCTTGATCAGAAAAGAGTGGGGGCTTCAGTTCCATGCCAGTCCCAACATGCAGCTTCCCCTCATCCCCAGGGTCCTGCAACCTCACCTGGCAGGAGTCTCTGCCTCCTCGAAGGTCCCCAGCACACATCATCCTAGGGGTAAGGTAGCTGTCATAGACCAAGTAGTCATTGCACTTCTTGAAGTCAATGAGGCTGACCTGCACCTCCCGGAGGAAGGGTGATGTCTTCTCTTCAGTGACATGAGGGAAACAAGACAGGAAGCCAGTGAGACTCTACACGGCTGTATGGTCTTCTGGCTACATAACTCATGACCCAGACCCTCAATCTTCTGTAAGTGGACCCCATACCTGTGTCTGGACCTGGCCCAAGGGAGGACTTCTGTGGCAGGACACCCAGGACATGTGGATATATACCCTCCCATGAGACACAACTCATTGCCCAAAACACACACACACATACATGCACAAACTCACAAGTCCATCAGGCTATCTGACATGTTGAAAAACTCTTGTTGGCATGGAAGGGACCATAAGATATATCCTTTCATTTGTTTCTGGAATCTATGTACACTAAAGACAGCAGATCTTAGCTGGGCATGGCAGCATATGTTTGTAATCCCAGCACTCTGGGAGGCTGAGGATAGAGGATAGAAAGTTTGAGCCCATCCTGGGCAATTTAGCAGCTTAGTGAGGCCCTGTCTCAAAATAAAGAGTGAAAAGAGGGTTGGGGATACAGTTCCGAATGAAAGCCCTAGGTTCGATCCTCAGTACCACCACCACCACCAAAAAGAAAAGAAAAGAAAAAGGAAGGGAGGGCTTTCAGATCTATTTACAGGTGGCGCCACCTAGGGCTGAAGAGGTGACTTGCCCACAGTCACATGTCGAGTCCGTGATGGAGACAAGATCAGAGGAAGGCTGCTTCCACACCAGTCATGGCTGTATTACATGGAGCCAGGGGAAAGTGGCCATGGCTAGTGGAGCTTGCCTGAGTCTAACAGCCCAGCTGACCAGACCATGATGCTCTCCTGCATGCAGGACATGAACAGTCTTACAGAACTGGCATTAGTTCTGAAGGCACTCTTTCCCTGGGATGAAGTGAGGCAAAACAAAACCACTTCATCCTGTTTAAGGACAGACAAAAACAAGGTCACTGTGCAAATTTCAAAAATATCAAACACCCCCTTTCTCAGGACAATTGAGATATTGCTGATTCTTCTATCATTTTAGCTTTAGATTTCCCCTTCCTTGTGGTTGAGATCATTAACTTTCCTGCATCCTAATAGATGCAATAGAGAAAAGTCCCACCTCTTTGAACCCTCCCCAAACCACCCACATTCTATGATAGGCCCTTTCTAACACCCTCTTATTGAGATGCTGCATGTGTCTTCACCATGTGCATTCTCCCTCACTGCTATCAGCAAAGAACTCAACTTGTTCAACTACAGGGGTTTCCCGTTGGTCTTGCCTGGAGGCCTCCATCACACTGACGGTGTTGACATCTGGGCAGGTGTCTCTATACACACAGTCATACCCAAGCCCATGAATTTCTAGACCCAAATTCTCAGCTAGATAGGCCCTTATCTATATACACAGCCATGGCTTTCACACACACACACACACACACACACACACACAGACCACCGCACACAAATCAGATAGATAATGCATAAGCTTCCTCTGAAAATCTTTAATTATGCACCACAGGAGGAAGGGAATATAGAACCCAGGGTGACATGCCCTAGCCTTCCTCACACACACACACACACACACACACACACACACACACGTCTACCTGCCTATGCACACACACACACACACACACACACACACACACACACACAGCTTAGCATCTATGCCTCTTACCATCTGTTTCCTTGGTCTTGCCAAAGCCCGTGATCCAACAGGTCTCGTTAATGCTAAAGGTCTGTCCATGCATGGGGAGGCAGACAGGGTGGATGTGTGCTGCAATAAGACCTCAAGGCATCAGGGAAGGAACAAGGCAGGAGATTTTGGTGGGGAGAGGGGCAGGAGTTCCAGTGTTCTAAGAGCCCTATCCTTGCCCACAAAGTGGCTCTGAGTCCTCCAGGACCTTGGACTGACCATGCAAGAAACTCAATCACTTTATCTGAACCTACCGGTTTGCTGGGTGCTGCTAAACTCCTCAGAGCCATTCTGATTTCAGTGGTCATCATGTAGGCAGGTATATAGCCTAGGGAGCTTTTTTTGTGCCAAAATGATACTGAGCAGCTGACGGTCTCTCCCCAACCTATAGTCTCTACACTGGCTGGGCCTCTTCCACACCATTCTCTCGGAGTAAGGAACAGCAGCAAGCTCAGTCCAAGCTGTTAGGGCCATGGCATCTCACAGTGTGCACAGGCTGATCTGGGAGGACACCAGCTGACTGGCCAGAGTCCACAGCTCTCCAAGTGTTTACTTGGTACAGAGTGAGAAACCTCTCCAAGCAGGAAAAGCACATTCTTGGAGTCACAGATCACAAAGCCATGCTAACTTGCTCCCACACTCAGCAGTATTTTGAAGGTGCTGTGAGGCAGAGCTTCATAGGCACCCTCTATAGCCTGGTGCCCTATATGGACTAGGGCACTGACCACTACAATCCACTTGCAAGAAAATATTACTACATAGAATTTTCCAGTGTTCTCAGTCATGTGTTACGTTTACCTGCAGCATCCTACAGTAGTGCCTGACACATTTTAAATGCTCACTGAACATCTGAAGATAGAGTCAGAAAGAAAGGAAAGAAAGGAGGGAGGAAATAATGAATGAATATTAAATTCTTTTCTCACAAACTTGGCTTTAAATGTCTACCACATATTGTCTGCTAAAGAGTAAATACACAAATCAATGAAGAGATAACACAAATTATTAACAAAAAAGTAGAACATTCTTTTCTATGCTCATTTATGAGGTATAAAATCTTTGAAGTGTGTAACAGTGTTATATGTCCCATTGTTTTTATAGAAGAATTAAATTTATCAGTGAGTTTTCACAAGTTTTCTCAGAAAGAATTGTGACTTCAAGGTGCTTGGCTGCCAAACCAGTTTAAGAAAAATTTGCCCTGGTTTATAAACCAAAAGTTAGGACACATGGTTTAATCACAGGATTTCAGCTGCAATTCTCATACTAAGGGTCTGCTTCCTATTCAGATCCTGGAGAGGGACTGCCACCATCTGAAAAGCTTATGAGATATTATAGTAGTTTTCACTGGCTTTAGAAATTATTTGATTTATATTGGAATTCCAATAACATTAAGAAGCCAGGGGAGGATGGGAGGTAAGACTCAGATGTTTAGCAAAATGGAATCTGAGTTTTACAGGTTGAAGCCAGTCTGGTACTGCAGACTGTCCCCTTGTATTTGTGTTTAAGTGACAGGGCAGGAGGCAGCTGGTACCCTTTCCACTGCTTAGCCTCAGGCTCCCCAGACAGGGCTGGAGGAGCAGGAGGCATGGCTTGAGTAGGAGTAGCTTATTGGTGGGGCCTCTAGTAGGTGAAGTACTAGGCCAGCCATCCAGCTCTGCCAGGGATCCTCCTCCTCACTCCACTCAGATGAGCTAACTGTATGACTCAGGACAGACACCACCTCCAAAATGAATGTGCCAGGAAACACCAGCCTCCTTTGATACAGTGATTTAAGAACTTCCCCAGTATTTCCATGGAATAACCTCATATTCACTCCAACTTTGGGGTAGTTAGTTAGCCGAATGTGTACTTGGCTTAATTTTTCATTGCAGTGTATACAACTGGCCAGACTAGAGCCCAGTGGGAAGAGCAGGGCTTGGAAATCTGATTAACCTGGATCCCATCCTGGACCTGCCACCTATCACTGATGGCCTCAGGTAATTATCTCTTTCTAAATCTCCACTTCCTCCTATGCCAAGTGAAGCTAATAATAGGACATGCTCCACAGGTTGGTTGTGAATAGTAAGTCAATAGTTTTCGTCAAACATGTACCAGTCTCTGGTCTCTGTTAAGCGCTAAGTTTCTGGGGGGTTGGGGGGAATCAATATTTATACTGATTAAAAGCAGTATCCAAGCCCTGGCTCTGTCACCTGTTTGTAACATGAGATGTGTCATTTGGAACAAACATTTCTAATCCTTAGGTCTCTGTTTTCTCAATTTTAAAATAAAAGTGTTCCATTTAATAATCTCTGAAGGTCTTTGACTTTTGCTATGCTGATGCTCTGGGGCCCTGAGATGGGTCAACAGGGCATTCCCAAGTCCAAGGGCTGCTGATGGTATCAGGGAAGAGAGAGGGGGCCCCAATTTGCTTACTGGATAGGGTCAAGGGCTTGGAGAGCCTCATGAGGGCAATGTCATAGTCATCCTGTTCATCCGTGTAGTTGCTATTGATAATGATCTGGGCAATGGAGGCTGCCTCAGGCAGCTGGTGCAGGTTGTTGGTGCCTGCATACACCTTCCAGCCCTCCAGCATCTTCTCCCGGGTCCTGCAAGAGCCAATACAGCAAGGTCCAGTTATGGGTCTGGCAGAGTACACAGGCAGCACCTGTGAGACACAGGGCAGCAGGAGCACCAACTTGGAAGCAGCAGAATGGATGAAATGGCCTATGGAAGGAGCCCTCTATTGTCTGAGGTCTAAAACAATTCTCTGTGTTCCCAAAACAACTGCTCTGAACTTAGTGCTATGCACTTTACAGTGAGAAAGGGGAAGGGATGTGTGAGACCTCTGTGTGGTGTTCAGCCCCTGCAATCTCATCAGCACACCACCAAGGACCACATATGGTGGGGCAGATTTGTAGTTTGGAGGACCCTCAGCAGTCAGAGATTTGGACAGGATGAAGTGACCTGTTGAAGACTCATTACTTGGGGAGCCAGTGCTCCCAAGGCCTGGGCTATGGGCTCCCACAGGGACAGGCTGGCTGGGAATGTCAAGAGCCAACTACACTGCTCTCCTTCAGTCCCCATTCCTCAAGTTCTGCTACAGCATTCCTGGATTCTTGGGCTACCCTGCTGTAAGTTCTTATTGGAGGAAGCAGCAACAAGCTCAGCCTCTTCAGGGCTCTTCAGTGGCAGGATCTGAACTCCCTCTGCCTGCCTGCCTGCCTCACTCTCCTGGGAGCTGTGAGTGGCATTTTCTTATCCTTGGGGCCAGCTCAGAGCAAGTACCCTAATTCACATGCCCAGGATCAAGTAATGACTGCAAATCCTGACTCTGGAGTGGTCACCCAAGCAGCATTGGGGTTGCCTACTCCGTGGGACCTGGGATCACACCAAAGTCCTCCTCCATCGAGAGGTCTGTCTGCCCTTCCTGGGGATTCCTGGTCCCCAGCAGCATTGACTCACAGGGCCCTGGGACACTCACACAAAGAAGCAATGGGCAGCGGTGAGCACCCACTGGGGGTCGATGAGTGTGCCCCCACAGATGTGGGTGGTGCCGTAGTGCAGACTCACTTGCCAGGGCCACTTGCTCCCTGAGGTCAGCACTCCTCCCACGATCCTCCCAGTCATGGCTCTCAGTCCACAGTCTGGGGAAGTGGAAGAGACAAATCATGAGCCCTGCTTCTCCCAGACCCTTGGCCGTGCTCCCTGAGCCCAGGACAGGCTGGGAATCCCTGTCCTGAAGGGCACCCACCAGATAGCTTTTTGGTCAATTAGTCTAAAGCAGCACAGATGTTTCCAGCCCAAGCAGAAATACCACATGGTGGGCTAGCTTTCTGGCTTTATCCAGTGGAAAGTCTGACCCTACACAGGTTCTTCTTTCCTCCCATTTATTCATTTTTCACCAATTTGACAAATACACCTGCCCCATGCTTTGGCACTGAGCCAGGAGGCATTGTAGCTCTGAGAGGAATCCCAAGGCTATCATTAGAGGCTCAGAAAAGCAGACAGATTCTAACCTGACCCTGCATTAATAAGCATTGTGATGGGAATGTCTATGATTTCAAAACAAGGGAGAAATAAACTCCTCATGATTCAAGGGTGGATTTTTGCCCATACGGTGCCAGGAAGAGCCATTGAGTGCTCTTGGGAACCCTTCATCCATAAGTGCATTCTGGAGCAAGTTGCCCACTACAGTCATGGAAAAAGGGGAGGTCTCTGGGTTTGTTCAGGGATGTGTGTGTGTGTGTGTGTGTGTGTGTGTGTGTGTTCCTCCTTTCATGGGAGTACCTAGGAGCCAGCAGTTCCCTGAAGAGTGGGTACTCCAACTCCAGTTGTCACTGAGAACACAAACTAGGTGGCACAGTTCACAGCCTGGTCTTTGGGGTCAGACCAGAAGTCAGACACAGGCTCCTCACTTACTAGTGGTCAGTTTGACCTTAGGCAAAGTAAACATTTTGGTCTCTTCAGTAAGGAACAGTAGCAGCACCTGCCTTGTGGGGTTGGTGTAGGCACAAGTGCAAGCATGTTTGTAAAGAGATGGGTGCACTGCCCTCCTGATACAGTGTGTGTAGTAAATGTTGGCATCTAGTTCTTCATTTGCTGGTGTCAAGCTCTCAGCTGGTCCCCAGATGCCCTCCAGCCCAACCCTTGTCCCCTGCCCAGAGTCCAGGGGCCTCCAGTGGCATTGTTGGTATGAGAGGGGCTACCAACTAAGCTCCCACAAAAGTCAAGAGGAGGAAAAATGGTATCCTGGGTGCCCCAGCACCTCACACAGTAGGCCTTCTGGCTGAGTCCATCTTATTGTCTTGGGTCCCCACAGTCAGCATCTTTCTTGGAAAGGCCCCATCTCCTGACCCCTGACTCCCACCCCACACAAGCCACAGTCTAAGAAAGAAAATGAAGGTCTTACGGGAACACTGGAGAGAGACGTACCGCTGGGAAGGGCATTCAGACCTGCAGGAGAAGACACAGGGGCTAGGAAAAGGGCACTTTTGTCACCGCCTCCAAAAAGCCTTTCTGACTGGATTCTGCTTGGGTACCATCCATTTCCACCCGTTCACCCCACTCCCTTTCTCGGAGCCTTTTCCTTCTCTGCCCTCTGTGAAGTGAACTGTTCTAACCAGCGGAGCACTCTCCAACCTAACCTAGGGCTGCAGTTCGAAGATGACAGAAGACAGGAAGCCTAGGAGGAGACTCAAGAAGGGTCCAAGAGGAGGCCAGTGCTTCCCAGCTGGGCCCTCAGTCCCTGACCAACTGATCTCCAGGTGCTTTCTACCCCGAGCCTCAATTATCACTTTTGAGCCAGGAGGCATCGTGGTGAACAAGGACCATTTCTGAGGGGCCCCTGAGTATTCGTGATGCTCTTCTGGAACCTGGGTCTACAAAAGCCAGGGATGTGCTCGCTTTGGCAGCACATATACCAGAGGCCGGGGAGATGGTCTCTCTGGCTTAAAGCCTCGCTCTATGGCCCCCATTCACTGCTCACACACAGGAAGCCTGGTCAGCACCTTTGTACCTGCGGAGGCTTTCCTGGATGGTGGAGTTGTATTCCGAGATTGCGAAGCTGCTGGCAAAATCTCTGTGAGCCACCTCAGTTGTCCGGTAAGCACTGCAAGAGGAGAGGGAAGAAGAATAAGCTTAATGGAGACAGCACTCCAAGTGCTAGCATTAAAGCTCCCCTCCCCTTGGAGCCCTGAAGATAAAGACTGGGCTATAATGGTCTTATTGTGGCCATGCTACTAGGTAGCAGTCAAGACCTAATACAGGGGATGAATCTGGCCTTATCCCCCCACCACTGGCTCTATGCACTAGCCTGATATTTCTCAGTGTGGTCCTCCTAGACCAGCAGCATCAATATCACCTGGGCAGTTGTTAGAAATGCACATTCTTGAGCTCTATTCAGACCTGCAGAATCAGAAGCTCTGGGGACTGCGTCCAACAGCCTATGTTTTAACAGGTTCTCTGGGCAATTCTGATGCAAGCTTAAGCTTGAGAAACACCAATCTAGCCCTCTTCTAATCAAACTGTCATCCACAGACCAGAGGCATCAGTATCACTCCAGACCTACTGAATCCAAATTTGATTCTGCACATTAAAGTTTGAGAACCTTTGCCAAGCACTGTGGCAACTCTCAGAGTAGAGTGTGCCTATGAATCACCTTAGGTGCTTGCTCAGCAAGTTTTAAGTCCTAATCCCAGAGATCCAGATTCTGGGGTACGTTTTCACAAACACCCCAGGCAGTTGCACTCCCTGTGTGTGAAACTGTATAAATTTCTAGAATGTAGTATGCCTTTGCATGAGGCTAGGCCTTTGCACATGCCCTTCCTTTACCCAGAAGGCCCATTCCTCTACCTTCTCCTTTTTCCTCCAAGTACAGTTAGCCTCTCTCTCCACCATATGCTCACAGTGTTCCATATATATTCTTTGCATGGGGTTATTGGAGTAAGCCTCCTTTGCCTACACCGTACTAGAGGGTCAAGTATGGGATCTCATCTTACTCCTTTGTGTCTGGGTGTCATGTAGTATCTGGCACCTTGTAAAAGTTTAATGAATGTGCTTCCAATAAATGACCAAAAAAGTGCCCAAGGGGTTCACACAAATTATAGGAAAGATGTCCACAGTCTTCTGTCTGGATCATTCAGATACCCTTATGGACCAGGACTCAGGCTGAGGAGGAGGCAAAGAATTAGCTCTGAGTCCTAGCCCCCATTTCTAGTTTTCCAGGTGCTTTTCTTACAGGGTACCCATTGGCTGCTTGGTTGAAAATCTTTACAGCCAAAACTTCTTAGGATATGGCCAAGCCATACCTGCCCCTTCTCATTTCTCATTTGATGAATTCTAGCCCAAGCCACAAATGCTGTGGCTCAAAGTCCACAGAAGGGCTTTGCATAATCTGAGCTTTTGGTCCCCAGATGTCAGGACAGATCCTGTGCAAATGCCCATCATCTTCACAGGGCAGCTCCTGTAGCCACTCAATGTGATAATAGACCCAAGAGTGCTTTGATGCAAAGAACAGTAGAGGTGGCCAATATGATTACAGCTCTATAATTACCTGGGCCTCAGGAAAACAGCTTGCCCTACACTCCTAAGATCCTAGGGTTTCCTGAGCTGGTAAGATCAGGCTTGGTCCCCAGGGCTTTTGTAACACTAGGAGGTATCAATAATATGCCTATGACAACCCCGTGAAGTGCATATGGAACCCCAAAGCAGGGACTCTTGGAGGCTTACCTCTCAAACCCCAGCTGCTGGCAGGTCTTCTGAGAGTCAGAGTCATTCCAGCTGCTGCTGCAGATGGGAAGCCACTCATGGGAGGATCCAGAGTAGACTTTAAGCAGAGATTTGTCCCAGTCAAACCTCACTGCAGGACAGAAAAGGCAGAGCAGGTCCTCGGCACCCAGAAGTCTTCGAGCTCTTAGGGAATGAGCTGAAGAAGCTCCTGTTCTGAGATTCATCAGTGAGGCCCAGGGAAGATCCAGGAGGTTGGCCAGAGTAGCAGTAGCAGAGGTTCAAACTAAGGGCAGGCCAAGGCAAGAGGCAGGGGCAGGGCAAAAGCTCTCCATCCAGCTATCTCTGGTAGAAGGGGTAAGCATAGTCAAGAGCTGTCATTCTGAGAGGGTCACTCCCATTCCCAAAGGAGACAGTGACAAGGGGAAACATCTAGGATTTTACTGAATGTTCATAGCACAAGTTCAGTCACAAATGGATGAAGCTGTGGGCAAAGGTACATATAAATGCAGAGCTGAAATGTTGGGACGCTCACATGCATACACACACACACACACTTACATGCACATGCACACACTCACACACCCCTCATAGTAGGGATGCATACAGGGTGGCACACAACCTACAGCTGATTGTGCATGCACAAATCACTGAGGACCAGAGCTCAGATAGATCTTAGTGCTTATCTAGGACTTGAAGTTAAGAGGTCACCTGCCAGCCAAAGAGGAAGGGCCCAAGATGGGGCTTCAGTAAGAGCTGATCTGCTTTGCTCAGTCTGCTATTTGAAAATTGTCATATTTTGAGAGCCACTAATCTTGTCCACACCACTCATTTTACAAAACAGGAAACTGAAGCCCAGGGAAAGGCAAATGATACAAGTGAAGTACCCAAGACACATAGCACTTGAAGCCAGGTTTCAACCCTACATCTACTGAAACTAGAATCCAGATCTTCTGATTCTTTGTCCACCACTTCTTGTTTGAACTGTCACACAGTTTGTACCACAGTTTGTAGTCACCCGAGTGCATACACACATATGTTAGCACTTGTGCATGCCTGCATGCACACACACATAAACACATGCTCACTCATGGCTGGCCTCCTTACCACAGCCTAGCTCGTCACTCTGCAGCTTACAGTCCAGAACCCCATCACAGCGAACAGCGTGTATGGGACAGCTCTCTATTGCCTCTTTATACTTGATTCCCGTGTGGCCTTGCCAGAAGTAGACTGGAAAGAAAAAAAAAGAAGCAGGCAGCTGGGTCACCCACAGCCCCAGGACAAGACACTAGGTAGCCCAAGGCCCTGGGGATTCTGAGACACCGACCTGCAATCCCTCTTGGACTCTGGGGCTCTCGTCCCCCATCTGTATGGAGAGAAAGGCTGCTCAGGAATATTCCAGAATGTTCCAGAAAGCTTCTGTAAGCAGGACAGCCCCAGGCAGACTCTAGCAGCCAGCCACTGAGAGAGAGAAAGAGAAAGAGAGAGAGAGAGAGAGAGAGAAAGAGAGAGAAAGCAGCACTATTGTAGGAGCTCCCCTAACCCTACAAGCTAGCTGAGAACCATCTCAATGTCCTCTGGCATTGAGTTCCCTCTCAGAACCTCTCCGGCATCTCCTCTCTGTGCTTCATGGGTCACAGCAAAAAATTTCTATTCTCATAGTCACAAGTACAGAGCCAATACCTATCCTGTCTTTTCAAGGGCTACTGTTCTTCCAGACTCAGGAGCTCCCAGATTTTTCTTCCTCCCCCTCTCCTTAAATAAGGGGTGTCCTTGTGATCAATTCTTAGCTCATACTTGTCTTCATGCCTTTTAACTGTCTTCCCATTCAACCAGAAACTAACCCTAGGTAGCCAGCTCCCAAATGTACAGGAAAACAACTTTACAAACCTGTATGAAAATCAGCCTCACAGTTTACTTTGTCTCTAACAACAATCTCTTTCCTAAGCAGGAGCTGTCACCCCCATTGCCTGGAGAAACTTCCCTCTGAATGCCCCCAAAGAGCCCAATTCTAACTTCTCAACCAGCCTCTCAGGCTCAACTGACTCCTTAGCTCTGACTCTCCATTCCCCTGTTCTGTCCATACTCTTGGTCACCACAGTGAAAGCCATTCTCATATGACTGCTCCTTCCACGTGCAGACTCAAATCTCTCCTAGTCTGCCAGTCTTTCCCCTCTTCTCTGTGTCCTGGTCCTCCTCTCCCCACACCCTCTGGACAATGAGCCTCTGGGGAAGTCCTGGGCAGTCTGTCCCTTCTCAGAATACTCTTGAAGCTGCACATAGAGGGGCCACCTTGAGGTGCATCAGGGAGCACTGGACTTGGAACTGGGAGGCTAGGTTCTAGTCCTGACTCCACAATACAGCTGCTCACAGACCTGCAGGGTCACACCACCTCCCAGACCGAGATGTCTCCAAGCCTCCCTAAAGGAGCCATCCAGACTTCAGGATATGCCATGGAACCAAGCCAGGAACTTTAATTCCACACAATAACCCAGTTCTGAGGTACCACATGCCCCTCTATGTGTCATTTCCAACTGCTATTGTGGAGCAAGTGCCCTATGCTGGGGATGAGAGAAAGAGAAGGGCAGGGAGGATCACGTAGCTGACACCCTAAGGAAGTCTTTATATGCATCATGATAGTGACTCCACTGCCTAGTCAGCAGGTGGGGAAACTGAGGCTCGGAACAGTAATTAACTTGCCGAAGTCATGCAGCTGGTCAGAAGCAGAGGCAGGATGATTGGCAGGAATGTGTGATGCCAAAGTTGTGCTCTCCCAGCACTCTGCCTCCTCCTACACAGCCCTCTTCCTCCAACAGCCTGCCACCTCGAGATGTCTCCAGGTACTCATCCACCCCACCCTTCACCACACCATGTTCCTGCTTCTACAGAACCTTTAGTCCTCAGCCTGGCATTTGAAACTCTCTGCCTTATGATCTGACCTTACTGAGCCAAACAAGACGGCTCCCATGTCCCCTAACATGTACTCTCCCCCTAACTTTTCTCTCTCTCTCAGTGTGGACCTTTCCCACCTTGACTCTCTCAGTTCTGGTGGCTTCAGATGCCAAGTCCAGGTCATAACTGCCCTGCTATTTTCCAGATCCACATCTGGCTCTTGCACCCTGGCCCATGTAGCTGTCACCTATTTCCTGCAGTCACATTCACATGAATTTTTCCTGAGTGATTTCCACTTCTGTCCCCAGGAGACTGCAACCTTGGAGGACAGGACAGCATGATGTGTGCTCACTTTTGCTCCATCCTAAGGTCCCCACTGTGCTGGGCTCCTTGTCCACTGACAGAGAGCCCTGGATGTGTTTTCCAAAGTGGGGGAGATTGAAAAGGCCTGAATGCCTGAACACTGAAGACTGTATTCTATTGACCAAATATCTTCAAAAGACTTTTTCCAATCAATGTTTCATTTTTTTTAACATCAAGCATTTTTAGAGTGAAATTTTGTGCCAGGCATTGTGCCATCCTCACATTTACTCCTCACAATCCAGAGAAGTTGACATGACATTTGATATGGCACATGGTGAGTTGGATGGGATGGATGGATGGATGGATGGATGGATTTTGTTCCATCTGTAGATGCAGAAGCTGAGCTCAGCACGGATAACTCACTCGCCCACGTAAGTTACACAGTAGGAACTACAGGAGGATGTAAGCCCAGGTTCCTATGGCATCCCACACTGCTAACTCTGTTACCTCAAAGAGGCCTGGCCCCACCCTGGTCCGTGGCTGTCTGGAGGAGTGGCCCTGTGTGAAAAGGGTGGCTGGGTGACCGTGGGGTCCTTTGTCCCTGCAGCATGGCCCCGTGCCCAGGCCCCATTCCACCAGCAATGACAAACCCGGCCCTACTCCTTCCGTTCAACTCACAGAGAATGATGAGTGAGACCACGAGGGCAATAAGGAGGAGGATGCACCCGATGAGTGGCAGCTGCTTCTTGCTCTCCTGCCAGGAAAATTTGGGCAAGCGGACACCTGGGAGCCGGGCAGCAGGGGAGAGTGAGAATTAGAGAGGCTTCTGATGCTGTACCTGTGTTCTTTTACTTCATTCTCACAGCATCCTTCTGAGCCAAGTCTTATTAGGCCCATGTATAGGTGGAGAAAGTGAGGTTCATGGAAATGAAATAAGTTGCCCAAGGATATTGAACGGCAGAACTAGGATTCAAATGCAGTGCATCTGATTCCAAAAGTCACCCCACCAAAGTGCCTCACCCACTCTTAAGAAGGAAACACTGGGATGGGCCCCAAACCTCAGTGTCAGGTATCCACCAGGCCTGTGTGTTTTGTAGTGGGGTCTGATGTCCAGAAGAAGTGTAGAGAGTTTCCCTAAGGGCAGAGCTCTGAGGCCCACTGATCTTCCTGACTTCCTAGTGGCTGCACCAGGTAACTTAGAGTTTGGAAGATTAGGATGAAGGTGCCTGCCTGGTCCAAATTCCTCCTTTCCTCCTCCACACACTGCTTCATTGGTCCTGGATTCTACCTCCCTTCGTTCTTTGCTCCAAATTTTCTACTCTCTTGGGTTTGTCCTGCAATAGTTTCTTTCTACCCTCACCCTCCGCTAAGCCCCTCAGGGCCCTCCCCAGCCATCCCCCGACATCACAGTCCCAGGGGCACATGGGTTCTCTCCTTGCCAGTAGACTGCTTCCCTATTTCTCCTGCCCCTCCCTGAAGAGCCCCCTTACCTAGCCTCTGCCTGGTGGTCCTGGCAGAAGTTGCTGACCTGGCAGGAGATGCTTGGATCGGGACAGCAACTGGTGTTGCTCTAACAAGATATGCTTTTGTTGGGAAGGATGTCGTGGAGGCTGAGTTGGCAGATGACCTGCTAGACGATGACCTGGAAGGTGATTTGTGGGTGGAAGAAGCCCGGGCTGGAGGTGTCCTTGCCGGGGAGGCCTGGGCTGGAGGTGTCCTTGCCGGGGAGGCCTGGGCTGGAGGTGTCCTTGCCGCGGAGGCCTGGGCTGGAGGTGTCCTTGCTGGTGAGGCCTGGGCTGGAGGTGTCCCTGCTGGTGAGGCCTGGGCTGGAGGTGTCCTTGCTGGTAAGGCTTGGGCTGGAGGTGTCCGCACTGGGGAGGCCTGGGCTGGAGGTGTCCGTGCCCGGGAGGCATTCTACAAACAGAATGAAGAGCATCCCTCAGGCTGTTTCTGCCAGAACATCTAGGCTGTGGGATAAGCTTGAGAATAAATGCTCTGGCACAGGTGACTGCGGGAATGGACAAGGAAGCATGTGAGAACAGCAAAACCCAGGATAGAGTGAAATCTCAAACAGCCTGCTTGTCCCATGCCCCACTACTGAGTCCCCCTCTCAGGGCCTGCAGAGGAGAGCAGGGGGAAATAGTCATCTGCCCAGATCTTGGGATCTTGCTCAGGGGAGGAGTCGCGCACTCTGACACCTCATAGCCAGGAAACAGGGTCCTTTATGGGGGAAAGAACCACTCCTTTTTCATTTTTTATTCTACTACCTTTTCTTTAATGGATGTTCATTAGATTATAAAATATTGTTCATACTCTGAGCTTTTTCAAGTATGAAAAGTACTCCTTAAGAAGACCCTGGGCTGCCTTGTATTCTCCTTTCTCAGTAACATAGATTCCCCACACATGTGCACACGTGTATTCATATGTACACACACACACACACACACACACACACACACACTCACCCCTAGTCCATCAGGGAACCTGGAATGACAACTTACAGGAAGAAAAGAAGATGTGTGGGCTGTGGTGTGACTACACACAGACACGATCCTTAACCTTGCTCATCTATAGGTAGAATTATTTATTAATGCATATTTGCTATGTTAACTTATGTGCAAAGACAACATAATGTCCTCTAAGTGCTTTATCTAAATTTACGCATTTCATCCTTCTAACAATCTATGAGGATGGGACCATTACTGTTTCCATTTTGCAGAAGAGAAAACAAGGGCATAGAAATGAAGCAACTTGACCAACTTTTCAGAGGTAGAAAGTAACAAAGTTAGTATTTGAACTCAGAGAATGGGCTCTGGGACACCCCAAGGAGGCCTGCATAGAGAAGGCAGCCAGAGAAAGCCAGTACTGCGGGTTTCTGGAGAGCTTGGTCTTGGGGGTGCTTTAGGTTTAAGACAGAAAGCCCATGGGCAGCGATGGTCATGAGAAGTGTCTGAGCACCCTCAGCTTGCTGCCATCAGTCTAGGTGTCCCTCTTCCACCTTACACAGGTCTCTCTGCCCCCCTCTGACCATCTCTGCCTCTTTGACTACCTCCTGAGACCCCAGAGCAGGGACTGACCTGGTCCAAAGGCCACATCTAACTTTCACTCTAATGTCTGCTGAGCACTAGGAGGGACAATGGAGAAGGACAACAGGGCCCTAGCAGCGCAGACTGTAGTCTTGTGCCAAGGAGACAGAAGTCACTGGGCCTCTTGCATCTCTGTTTCCTTCCTTCATGGACCATGGTGTTTAACCATGTTGAATATCGTTACTAAGCAGACCACCTCTAAGTCCTCCTCACTGGAACATCTGCCCCAAGTCAGCATAACTTTTGGGTTTTGCTTTTTTAAATCTTCTCTCTCTTCTGGGAGTCAGAAGTAATTTGTTGGGAAGTGTCCTCATTTTTCTGGGGGCTGAGGGAAGAATTCAAGAAGAAATCTGGAGCTCCCGACCATACCCAGCTTGCCAGAGGGGGAGAGAAGAATGACGTTCTTAGAGAAATTCCTACTAGTGGATGTGGGTAAACACTCAGGAGTGCTGATGCTCTGGCCAACTGAGCAGGGACACATTTGAGGGTACTTAGAGTCTTGAAGGCAGCTGCTTCTGCCACTGACACAAGTGACCCAGATGACAGAGCTGACTTTGGAGGGCCCCAATCTTGGGTCTTACTTGGTAATAGTGTGAGCATGGGCCACTCAACTTTCTAAGCCTGTTTCTTCATCTGTAAAATAATATTCCTCCTTACGAGAGCCCTTGTCGGTGCCTGCAACGCAGAAGTTACCCAGGAAATGGTTGCGCATTTCCACATTGCCATGGCACACATAGCACCAACCATGAGATGAGCTCATCATGGGGAGAGAAGAGAGTTGGACAAAAGCTAGAGTGAGGTATTCTAGTTAGAAGGACAAGGCCCTGCTATGTAAGGCTCTGAGCTTCCTAGCAGTGGTGGCCTGACTCTTGGCACCTGCCAGGGACCCTGGCATTATTGTACCTCCACTGACCTACATGGCCTCAGTCTGTAAGTTCACACTATGATTCTTCCCCAACCTCAGAGGGAATCCTTATCATTCCACAGAATAAAACAGGAATCTCTCACTTGTGTGTGGCACTTCAGAGTTTGCAATAAATGTTAATGTCTGTGGCCTTCTGAATCCCACTTTACAGATGGGGATTACTAGAACCACACAGTGAGGGCTCCATTTGAGTTCTCTGCCCCTCTTGTCAGGAGAGACTCTAGTGTCTGCTCTTTGGAACATGTGCCCAAAGTGCTCATCTTGCATTCATCTTGCATCTTGCGTTCAGGTCCCAGTTCTCTGGGACTGGAGGCCTTGCGGAGGTGGGGGCAGCATTGAGAACCTGGGGTTCCTAGCAAGATCTCTGTGGGTACTTTCCGATGCGCACTGTGGCTGGGACCTTGTAACCTGAGAGGACTGAGTGGAGCCTAGTGACCTGCAGGTTCAGCAATCAGAGTTAGAGGAACTCCACTGGAATCCAACTGTGTGACACTGGGCAAGTGATGTCAACTCCACCTCATTACATCTCAACTTCCTTATCTGTAAGGTCTAGCTAGTCACCCTGCTTCACGGCATTATAGTCCTGGTGATAGGTGCAGAACACCAGTCACTCAGTAAGGGCTTGGGTGACAATGACTGGGATGGAGGCTGTTGTTTGTTTAAGAATACCAGGCTTGAAATAGAAAGACCTGTGTTAATATGACTGCATCCATTCCTAACATGGAACCTGTTTCCACACATGTAAAATGGGACAAATCTCACCTCCTTCCTCCAGATAAATGGGAACTATACAGGAAAGCATGTCTATAAATGTGTGTCTAACAGTAATAGGGATAATAGCCCACTGTGTACTTTACTTGATCCCATTTCAACCTCATTACAGCTGTTGCAGTTGCTATTGGTAGCTCCACTTTACAGATGCTAAACCTGAGGTACAAGGAGGTTCAGAACATGCCAGGGAAGTGACAGGGCTTGAATCTAACCAGGCCTGCTAGGAACAAGTAGAGTCTTGACCAACAGTATCATAAGAGCCCAGAGGAATTTCCCTCCTCTTTTCAAAGCTCATCATTTGCAAAGTTCTACATCCATTTTTTTCCATTTGACTCCTACAACAGCTAGTGAGCAAGCTAAGCAGGAATAGGAGTTGGAGCTCAGAGATACTAACCAGTAGGCCTAACTCACACTTTACCCCATGCTAAGGACCTCTAACACAATCTTCTAAATCGCAGTCAAGGGCTCAAGCTATCTCCATCTCAGTGTGACCCTGTGATACTGTCCCTGTCACTTCTCCGTGAGAGGCAGGAGCCAAGGACCCAGGGCTGGAGGAGAGAGGGTTGAGAGGGTCATGGGGTCAGAGGGAAAATAGGGATGCATTTTGTGGAGTTGGAGCAGAGGAGGGAGTTAAACCGAGATGAGCTTGATAATGGACTGTTACGGTGGGAAGCTAGGAGCAGCCAGAATGGGCCATGTCCCAAAAGGGCTCAAAAGCCCTGCATTAGAGTAGCTTTCCACCCTTGCTTCAGTAAGAGGAGAACTCTGCTGTCAGAGCTGGGGGAGGCAGGAGGGCAGTAGTAAGTCCCTAAGACCAGGACAAGAGGAGAGTTCCAGGACTCCAAGATTTTTTGTTTGTTTGTTTTGTTTTCTGAGACAGGGTCTCTCTATATAATTGAGACTGACCTGGAACTCACTATGTAGCCCAGGCTGGTCTCAAGCTCACAGCGATCCTCCTTTCTCAGCCTCCAGAGTGCTGGGATTACAGGTGTGCGCCACCGTGCCAGGCCAGGACTCCAAGATTTTTTGTTTGTTTGTTTTGTTTTCTGAGACAGGGTCTCTCTATATAATTGAGACTGACCTGGAACTCACTATGTAGCCCAGGCTGGTCTCAAGCTCACAGCGATCCTCCTTTCTCAGCCTCCAGAGTGCTGGGATTACAGGTGTGCGCCACCGTGCCAGGCCAGGACTCCAAGATTAGAGTAAGAACTGCAGGGATGTCAGCTGGAAGAGCAGCCCCTAGACCAAAGGGATACATTAGCCACAGCAAAGCCATCTGCTCCATCCCCTACTCTGCACCTCAACTCAAATATGGTGGGTTGGGAAGCATCCTCATCCTCCTCAGGGGCCATCAGTATGGAATATCCCACACCCACCCTGCTTGAGGCATTCCATAGCCTGCCACTCCACCCTGCTAGAAGTCCTTCCTGATGTCTAACCTGCTACAGTACTAACTCATTTCCTTCCAACTCTTGGAGAGCATCTGCTGAGATTCCATCCTCCCACTTGGAGGCTTGCTCTCACCCTAACAGCAGATGCTGTGAAAGCAGGGAAGGGAGGAGACTTCTTGTTCTAGGTCCCCAGGTACAAAGGACAGGGCCAGAACCAGAACTACTCCAAAATCCTGGCCTTTGCCAGTAGCACAAGACCCAAGGATGAGACTCAGATTATCAAATCCTTGCTATGCACTGACCTCTCCACAATCTTACTGCAGACCAGAGGCTCCTCAGCCCAGGCAGGGTGGGTGGACAGGGCAGAGCAGAGGTACCTGGCTGGCTCTGGGCTATTTCCTTGCCAGTCACTCTTTCCTGCTCCTCCTCCTCCACCCCTCACTACCTCTAGGTGGCCTCTAGGGTTATCTTTTGCAGTTCCCCATGTTCTTCCTGTGCTGTGAAACCGGCCTTCACCCCAGGCTGCCACTGTTGCCGCCTGGCTGTACCTTGGCAGCACCTGGAGGATCCTATTCAAAGAATGCCTGGAGCTTCCTAGTATTGCGGAGCATGGGCAGCATGGGAGGATGTTGGGCAGGGATCTCTAGTGAGGCAGTGAAGGGTGGGCCAGGAAGAGAGCTGCGGAGAGCAGCCCCTGGCTCTGAGGCTCATTTCAAGCATTTCCTGGACACTAGCAACTAGCAGCCTGAAACATTTGTGTGCTTCGCCCAAAGTCGCTCAGGTTGCTCTTACAGCAGAACAGGAACTAAAACACACCAAGGTCCCTGTTCCCCATCTAGTGCTCTCTAAACTTCAGGTCCCACAGGTGGATTCTGTGGCCCCAGGTGACTGGCCCATTTTTATGGTTTCCCACATGACTCTCTCCCTTGGGCCCTCACCTTATAAGGGCTGGGCTGGAAGTTAGTTAAGAAACCCTGAGGATGTCCTGCCTTTGGCCTCCTCTAAGTCTCCTGTGGCCCAGCCAGGGATGTCATGGAGGACAGGGGCCCCTGTCTATGCTGAGTGATGTCGTAGACAGATCCTAAGTGGCTATAGCATGGACTCTGGAACAGGTGCATTGTTGCTACTCAGAGCCCCAGGAAAACAGTGTGAAGGACCCTACCTGAAGAATGCCCATGGTGGTGGCAGGAGCAGTGATGACACAGCTTCACAGCCTGAGGCAGGGCCCTCAGGCAATTTCAGGTCCCAGCCAAGCTCCCTCCTCAGGCCACCACTTCCTAAAACCACCACCCTGGGGGCAGGCTGAGCATGCTATAGGCCATCAGGGCTGTAAGGACTTAGGACCCCCTCCAATCCAAGGATTTTATCCTAGCAATAAGATGATGGGTCTCAGAGAGACCCTGTCACTGGCACAAGGCCACAAAGGCGAGTAGAGGACATAGGCAGGACTAGAAGCCTGAGCCACTGGCATCATTCTTAGTCTCTGTGCTCTCCTGGTTTTTCTGCCCTTCCCACCCTCCTGTGAGGAAGGACCCTCCCCTAGAGTGAGACCTCTGAGACCTCCCTCTTTCCCAGTCACCTTGAGTATCAAGGGCTTTCAAATAGATGGGCACAGGCAGGAACCCTAGCATTCAGGACTAGGCAGGAAGAGGTACTCCCCAGCCCTCACCAGGGACACTGGTATATGGAGAGAGATTGGAGATCAGGGCCTAAAACACTTGCTGAGCTGGACTCATCCCCTCATATGGACCAGACTGGCTGGTGTTAGAACGGTTTCTTTCTCCTCTTCACTGTTTGACCCAGGCTTCACTGTGCCACTGGGGACAAGGACTTTCATCTACTCTCTTTATGAACCCAGAGAAACCCCACAAACAGGCCTTCTAAGAAGCAAGCAAATTAGCAGCAGCACCTCCTTGCACCCAACACCAGCTTCCCTATGTACACTACTGGACCCCCATTGGACTGTGAGTCAGACTAAGGAGCTGTAAGACCTCATAGGCACTGGGATCTGTGCTCTGCTGCCAGCCAGCTGATTTGGGGACAATCACATCACTCTCTGGGTCTCAGCTCCTTCACGTACAAATGAAAGGGTTGGATAATCAGCCATTTTCCAGTGGGGGCTGCACAGAGCTCTGGTGCTGTGGAGATCAGCAGCAAGGGCTGTGGCAGAGCTCTGAGTCCTCCCCGCATCTCAGAGAGACAAGATTTGCTTTTTAGTTTCACAATGAAATCTCTACATGAGATTTCATTTGAACAAAAGAAGCAGCTACTACAAAGGCCTTGAAAATGACCTCCTTGCATGAGTATTAATATTCCTTCTGGTTTAGGATGCCTTCTGTACATATGAATGAGCCCAGGAAGATCCCTGTTAGATCAGCATCAAAACACCTCCTGTTCATTTATCGCTTCATTCATTTCTTGAGTGCCCATGATTGCCAAGCAAATGATATTTCCTACCTCCATTTGTCACGTATTTGTGCCTTCCCTCTGTGCCAGACTGGGGTGGTGACACAGTCTAGGCTGGTGCATTTCGGGGGCTCCCTGGGCTGTCTTGGGTGTTGCTTCCTTTGAAGAGGAAACAGCCTCCACCTGCTGCTGTCCAGCTGGCAAGCTGGGTTCCTTATGATGTCTTCCCTTGTACCACCTCCACTACCACCCTCCTATTCACCTGCCCCTGCACAATCCACCCTCATTGTTGCTATACCAAGAGGAAGCTGTTTTGGCAAAACAAGACACTTAAACTAAGTGGCCATTGTTACATCAGTCAACCTTCCCGCCCAGAACCCAGCCTGGAGTCCCATGCACGCACTCCCACACATTTATGCTCCCATTTGTCAAGTCACAGAGGACAATGCAAAGGAAAGCATGGCAGGAAGTGCCAGATGGACGATTGCTCAACACCAATGAAAACGTGAAGCAGAAATCTCAGGTGGTGACTGCAGAGGGCCTGCACTTTGGGGCTGGGAAACAGAAGGGAGAACTGAATCTACTGCCATCTTGGGAACCTGCCTAGCCTGGTCTGGGGAAGACACCTCATCCTGGATATTCCTGGGTCTCATTAATCCAGAGGATCTGTGGTTTTGAGCTGATTTAGAATCAGCTCCACTTTAGGAATTCCTAGTATAAGGAAAATCTGTCTACAAAGGATCATGGGCCTATTTATCAATGGGCCTATTCAGTCTGTCTTTAACACATATCACATTTCTCAAAGCATTAAAAAATATGACTCATTTTGAAAAAGCACAAAATACGCACTATTTGGCAAGAACAAATGCACACCTGCAGCTGAATTCTGATTCCAGTGACTGCCATGGAACTAGAAAAGGATCTCAGAGAGCAATTTGTCTTTCTTCTTTGGTAGCTGGGGAAACTGAGGCATGGGGAGAAGAAAGTATTTGTCCAAAGTTAGGAGCCAGAATTGGTCCCTAGATGATGATGATAATGCTGATAGTGGTGATGATGACAATAAATCTTAACATTGTGGCTGTATCTGCATCTTTATCTAAGCTGGATGCTATTTTGGAAGCGCTTTGCCATGTGAAAGACTATTCTGAGACTCCTTAAGGTAAAGTTCTGTTATTCTGGTTACAGATGAAGAAACTAGGTACAGGGAGCTTAAGTGATTACCCAAAACTTGATTAGTTCTCTGTCCACCATAGTACAGCTTTTCTACTTGTTTCTTTCTCTTTTTTTTTTTTTTTTTTTT